CCCCAAAACCCCAAAACCCCAAAACCCCTGGAGAGATTCCCTGCTGGAATTCACATTTTTTATTATTAAATTCTTCAATAATTGGCTATTCAGAGGATTTCAGCATGAGAGGGATCACCAAGCACAGGATAATTATGGCAATACCCAAGAAGTCGGTCATGATGAAGTGGTAATTGAAGATCACGATGTCTGACAAGATTGTCAGCACATTCTCACTGTATCCGATAGGAGAGAGTTTGGAAGCGGGAGCGTATTGGATAGCAGTCATCCAGGTGTATTGGCCTACTACTCAGCCTACCATCATGATAAGTAGAGCAGATATGTTAACTACTTTGTCAATATAAGCTGAAAAGTGAAGTGCACCAGGGAAGAAAATGATAATGATGAAATTCTGGATAAGCACTCCTGTTCCGAAATACAAGGGTGATACAAAAGCATGAACGCCATTAATACTCATTGTTCTCAGAAGCACGAATAATAGAGCATAAAGGAATGCTGAGGCAACCATAAGTCAATATCCAAAGGTCTCGTTTGAGGCAACTTTAGGATCGTCTGACTTGTTCAATGTTAGAAAGTAAACTCCTACAATTGAAAACAAGATCAAGCCGATGCTCTGATATGTTATTTTTTCCTTCAAAAAGATAGCAGCTGTGATAGCACAGAACAATGGGCTTATGCTCCAGATCAAAATTGCTTTTCCAATGGAGATATATTGAAAGCCATACCATAAGCAAAAGTTATTGCAGAGACCAACTCCTACTCGAACAAGTATAACAAGCTGAACTTTCGGTTTGAAGTTGAACAGATATACGTTCACATTCTTATACTTTGCGTAGAGGTAGAAGCAAGGGACTCAGGAGTAGCCCATCATTGAGACAGAATCGAGGGGACTCATCTCTGGAGATACTGTTAACATATATTTGGTAGAAACATGCAGAACAGTCGCAATTAAGGTATTTATCAGCATAATAGACACCCCTTTGGCATATGATTGTTCATAATGATATTCTCCTTCAGGCTCAACAACACACGAAGGCTCTAGGAGAGACATAGAGATCTTGGAGGGATGGCTTACATTGTGAGCGTTCTTGGTGGCAGCTGGGGGAGATTGGTCTTCGATTTCAAGGAGTTGGTAGCCAGGGGGAGCTGAATTTATAGGTGTTAGAGGAAGAGTCAGAATAGGAGGGTTAGGATTGGTGTTTTTAGAATAGAAATTTTGTTAATGCTGTGTTTGAGCTATAGTTTTTGTCTGGTAAAGGAGCTAATGAAAGTTTGAAGAATATATAAAGCGAATACAGATGATATCAAAATTTAATCAATAACTAACTATCCTCATTTAAGTCATAGTCAATATAAATAATTACCTTAATCCCAATATCACACATAAACCCAAGTCTGTAGCTTACTCTGGTCTTCTTGAGCACTTTTCTGGCTCATTTTTTAAATAATTTATGTAATTTTTAATATCCCAACTCTCAAACCCGGGGTTTTGGGGTTTTGGGGTTTTGGGGTTTTGGGG